TCCGACTGCTGGAGGGCTCAAAGGTACCCAGTGTATCGCCATTTGTATTGAACGACTTGACTTCATGTTTGTCGGTGCCCACCGCGAAGACCGGAGCATGTTCGTGTACCGAGAGGCTGCGGAGCAGGGTCATTGGGCCTCCCGCCAGGGATGCCGTGGAGCTGGTACTTCCAATATTACTCGTGCCATCTTTGCCATAGTCGGGCTTCAATGGTGAAGGTGTCGACGATGTAGCGTTCATCGTCAATACAGCCTTGTCATTCCGCAGATCCCACAACTTCACCTCACCATTCCTGCTCCCAGAAATGAGTTCACGGACGCCACCACGTTGCATGTGAATGTTCGTTATCCACTGTCTGTGTTCGCGCCAGAGTTTGACCATGGCAGTTCGAGGGTTGAGTCGCTGGTCAAATACGCGGATTACACCATCTCCGAAACCCGCAATGAAAATCTGCCCTGCCACCTGATCACTAGTCAGGCTGGTCACACAGCTAGAACTGCGTGCTGGAATGTCGCCAACACAAAGCTCTGTCGCGGCATTCCACACTTTGATAACCTTGACGTCCCCAGCCACGAGAGCCTTGCCTTGGCCCTGTTGCCAGTCAAAGACCAATCCGGCATTCTTGTTGCTGGGGATCAGCTCCGTCAAGGCCCTGAACGCAGTAATCACCTTGACGTCTGCTGAACTCTGATAGTTTCGATACACTTTGAGAACACCATCGGAACTACCCACCATCAGCAGGGGCTGATCGTCCTCGTTTAAGAATTTTGCATCGTTGATCCTGCTTCCAGTAGGATTTCCATTGCTGAACCGACTCAGTTGCTCATTGTTCTGGAAATCCCATATGGTGACGGTGTCCTTGTCATCGGTAACGGCAAGGTGGCTATCGAACTGATGGAACGTCAGCTTCATTGGCTGGCTCTGGTTGTTGAGAAACCCTTCGTAGCGGGTCCATTTGGAGCTTCCCGCCACGGCTTTCAGTGGCTGATTGTCAGCAATGATCTTTTCGTTGCGGTTCCGCCGCCAGAGTCTTGAGTTGTAGTCCGCTGATCCCGGCTCATCTGGGTCATTGGGTCTCATCTGTGGTTCGCGGAAATATTCGGTTGACCAATCTAGCAAAGTACTTGGAAGAGGGAAAATCGCTCGCATTTTCGGTTCGGGAGGAACGAAGCCTGCGGAAGTAGGCAGAACGGCAGAGTGATACGATCCTGGGGTGCTTCTCGCATCGGAAGTTTCTGGTGGGCGGCTCCATTCAGGTGGGAGACGACTTCGAGGAGTATTGACTGGTTGCACAAGTTCTCTTGTTTTCGTGGGAGATGGCTGAGGGCTGTTTTGATTGGAAGAGGTCGAAGGACTAGGAGAACCCGTCCCAAATGCGAGGTTGCGCAGGGAGCTGCCAGCCCTCTTCAGACTCAGGGACAAATAGCTCTGCTGTTTCGCCAATGCGGGAGGCGGAGTGCCGGGTTGTTTTTCGACTGTCCTGAGTGAATCGCGGGACGGGACTTTCTCAAGCTGGGACTCTTCCCGTTTCGAGAACCGCAGCAGGTCATCAATGACTGCCATAGCCATCTGACTCATGGGCGAGTTGATCAATGTCTCGTGCACATGGTCGACAATGCTTGAAGCATTCCGGGCAATTTCGGGGTGCGGATCGACCGACAGCATCAAGATTTGAACCCAAATCGAGCCGTAAATCGTGTTTGCAGACACTGGCATCCACTTGAGAGAGTCACCAGCTTCGCCACTAGTCGACTGGGACTGCTTGTACGGGTGTCTATCCCTTTCTTCCACGAGCTGCTCGTAAGCAACCACGATAAACTTGTTCTCGTAGCGCTTCACAAAATGAGACAGGAAGACAACCAGTTCTTTCCTCACCAACGTGCTGCCATCGGTTGTCATAAAGAGGACAGAAGAGGCGATTCCTTCTTCGATCTGGGACACCTGATCGGTCAGGTCTGGAATGCCGAGAAAGTTGGTCAGAGCATGGAGCATGGCCGCTCGAACTTCTGGGACGGGATCAAGTGACAATTCACAGAGTCTGGCATGAGCCATGCAACGAATACCCATCCATTTGGCATCGGCATACTCGCACCACAACATACTGAGACACAAACAGGACCATTGTCGCAGCAAGGGATTTTCAGGCTCTGCCATGTTGAGCAGGCAGGCATTGAAAAGCTCGGGCAACAAGCAGACTGTCTGGCCTGGAGGATATCTCTTGCAGAACGTGGCAACTATGAAGGCACACATGGCTCGATGCTCGCTGGCATTGCCCACAGGAATGTCTGAACGAGGGTTCATGATGGAAATAAAATAGTGAATGCCGTTGTCCTTGAGCAAATCGTTCTGTACCGTGTAGTCGACCGCCATGATTCGAGCCCAGATGAAAACCATTACCGGCTTGAGCTCTAGCGAGGCTGCTTGGAGAAGCTTCACTACATAAGGGAAGATTCCAATGCTCAAAGCTAGATGAACTGCCCACGGTCCGAGGTCCAAGAATTTGCTGAGTAGAATCAGGGCACGGAGGCGATGCACTTGACTAAGAAGGACTTGCAGAACGATCGGCAACTGGTCCGGGGCTCGATCTTTGGTGGGTCCAGAGCTGAGATAGACCTCGAAGGCTGTAAGCTGCTCCGAAAAGAAGGTCGAGTGTTGGTATTCATAGACTCGTTTCCCTTCTTCGGCTTCACGGAGCATAGGAAGCTGTGCCAACACCATCTCCATGGCCAAGTCCCAACTTTGCCACAGAGGATGTCGATGTGTTTCGGGCAGCGCGGGCGACGAGATTGGATGACAATGGTTAGCCCTCATGATTCGCTCGCTCAGTAAGAAATTGCGGAACAATGCTGCGACCATAAGATCTTGACGGAAAAGCTTCTTAAACAAATGTCGTGGTAAAATGTTCCAAGCAATCGTGTCCGTTATAGCTGTAAAAATCCAGTTGAGCTCCCCAAGAGGACTCCGTCGGTCCTGCAGCCGTCCGGGTACGGGTATTTTGCCATCTTCGATCGTAGGACCATTGGGAAGTGGATTCTGTAACACAAAGTATCTCAGTGCGATATCTATCGGTGTCGTCAAGCAACACGTGAAAAGATCGGCAGGCAGTTCTGGGTTTGTGGGCAACATTTCGGTCCTCCCACAAGCCGCCAACTGGATGCAATCCCCATAGTTTTGAATAGGTGCATTGGGATCTCGTTTCTTGAGCTCCTCATTTTCCTTTTCATGCTTCGCCAGAAATGTGTCAAAGTTGTAGACAATGTTTCCCGCATGAGACACGTCGTAGACAAACAGACTGGGCCCTCCTAACCAGGCCTGCAGATCGTAAAGGCCCACAGGTATGTACTGAGTGTAGTTTTTGTTGAAGACCCAGATCTCTCCCGAGGGGGTGGGCAGCGGCACGCCGTGACCGTTGTAGTGAAAAAGAACCCTCTCGTCCTTCGCATTCCGACGCAATGAAATGCAAAAGCGTTTTGTCTCGTCAATTGAGGGATCGAGGTATTGTTTGTATCTTGTCCGCAGACTCAGCGATTCGTATTGCTCCTGCAGGCGTTTCCCAATTTGCTCCATCGTCTTGGTCGTACCACCACTACTTCCCGTTGGGTCGACCCAGGCTTCGAGCTTCGCAGTGGGGTTTGTCTTGATCACATCAGGAGGATCCACACCGATGTTGAGACAGATGGCTAATGCAGCGGAAACGGTCTTCATACGATCTTTCATGCGCCAATCCACACTGGGGAACTGCTTGGATTCCTCCGACAACGACCCGTTGCTTTCATGCCGCTTTTCCGTGTAATACATGTAAAAGGTCGAGTGTAACAACGACAGGTATTCGTTCGACGTGTACTCATCATCCCAGCCATGCCGAATGTGCGCCAGTTTATCTTCTGCGGGGATCTTTGGAAGTGTCTCTTTGCGCCGGGGCCCAAGATCGCTCTTCGTGCGCTGCAGCAAGGCAATCGGTCTTGCTGTCAAGTAGTCTTCCGCTTCTTGAGGTATTATTCTTGGGGTAGAAGGCCCGTTTGGTTGGCCTCGAGCTGGGACGCTGAGCGGCGACGGCTGTTTGAAGATGGAGTTTGATGAGAAGCGGCCTCCATCCTCGAGCATGTGATGAGATGTTGATTGATCCCCCTCTTGAGTTGCAGGCCTGCGGCGGTTCACATCGAGGAGACCCAGTCCCCCGGACGCTGGGACATTGTGAGAAGCCATGGTCTCCGCAATGGGTGTAGCTAGAACAGGTCCGCGCATGGACAACGAACCATGACACTTGGAACCGTCATGTCACACAGAGAGGCTCTCGTGGAGTCGAAGGATAGGTAGGATCAACTGGTTGGTGGGCGAAAACAGCGGTGACTTGAAAGAGATGTGAGCTCACGAGAGCAAACAGACTGGCGGCGTAAGGTTATTCCTCAATGTTTCGCGGCCTGCTTGGTACGGCTAGGAGTTCGCGATTGAGTATGAAAAGTATCTTTGCTTGGAACACCCAAATAGTAGAGCAAGCATGGTTGTGACACGCTTGACCAAAAATCCTGCCTGCAGCAGAATGCGGGGAGGCGCACGAGCGCAGCCTTGCGGAACAAGTAAATTCAGGGTCACGTGACTTTATCTCAGCCTTACAAGACTACCTCGTACATCTTGCTACACAGCCTCGTAGACTCGAACCGCATAACGCGATATTGCTACACTTGTCGATATTAGTTACATGTAGGTATTTGACGTCCATTCATTTAACTTGAAACACATTCTGCCAGACCCAACCAACCACATCCATCTCTGATCCAGTAGTCCACAATTCTGCGCTCAACGACCTGGCAATTAAAACTACATTGAGCTCCTAACCAGTAGACAGCTCCATGAAACTTGTTTCATCACTGTCATCCGCATATTGGGCTCCCAGAAGGTACGACAACTCCAATAAGAATGTAAAAACAGAGGTCGAGGTTGTTCACACACGCCCCGGACCTTTTCGTTAATGTCACAATGAATTTGAAGTAGGATTTCATCAAGCAACAGCCGACGTCTCTCGTGTTCCACTTTCTTCCTCTTCAAGCCTCCGCCTCCAGCTAGCGAGATTATCGCTCAGCTCTGTCCCATGACTCTCTGTTGTAGGTGTCCTTTCCGAGTCAAAAGTTGTGCTGAGCCGATAGTTGTTCCTACTCGTGCTCTCCCATTGTGATCGTAGCGTTTCCAGTTCAGAGGCCAGGTTGTCCAGAGCGATGGACCCCCGGTCGTCTCGAGACAAAGCGTCATCATTGACCGACATATCCGTCAGTGTGGAGGTGCTTTCCTCTCGGTTGTGCCCCAGTCCAGGGATCCCATGGGGCAGAGGTTGTAATTGTGACTGCCGTCGATAGTTTCCTACAGACTGACCAACTTGATCAAGGAGCATTGTCACTCGGCTTTCCGCCTCTTCCGCTTGTTTTTCAAGCATGGAGTTTTCTGACTTGAGTTGTTCTAGCTCTTTGCCCAGTCTTTGTGCGGTTTGTGTAAGCTCCTCGTAGCTGGCTTTCTGCTGGTCCCTTTCTGTCTGAACCTTTGTGAGGTCTGACTTCAACGACGTCATGTTCGACTCTAGTTGAGCAATCTGCTTGCTCGTCTGGGTCTTCATCTCCTCGATTGAAGCTTGAAGTTGCTTTCGTTCCTCGTCCCAGGTCGAGGTGTCCGGTGCTGTCCCAGAAGCCGCACTCGTGCTTCGAGCAGTTTCCAGCTCGCCAGTCAATTGGGCATTTTGGGATTTGTATTTGGTGAGCTCCTCCTTCATTTTCTTCAGCATCTTCTCAGTGCCCTTGACGTAATGGACGGCAGATTGATAATCGTTTTCAAGCTGCTCCAACTTCTCCTTGTAGGTGCTGTCAGCCTCTTGCATACGAGCCTCGAATTGACTCTTAGTCTCCTCGTGGGCTTTGATGCTGGCTTGTAATTGTTGATCAAGTTCTCGGAGACGAGCTTGCTCCGGCGTGCCAAATCGAGAGCTTGGAGAATGATCGAATATGGGCGACCGTCTCACGTCAGAGACATTTATGCCGCGCTCGCCTAGCAGATCCTTGAGAGCACTGTGCTGAACAGCAAGAGCACTGGCATCACGTTGAGACATTTCAAGGTTCGATCGTAGCTCACGGATCTCTGCCTGATAGTTTTGTGCATCCCGCAAAGTGGCCTGTAGTTGCCTCCGGATCTGGAGAGCCTCGCGGCTCGACTGTTCTTGATACGCTTCCAGTCCAGCAATCCGTTCTTCTGCATTACGTAGTTTCTGCGCTGCCTTATCTGCTGCTTCCTGGTTGCGCTTGGCCAAATTCGAGGCTTGTTCGGCTGATTCACGAAGAGCGGCTATTTTCTGATCGGCGACAGTGTCTTGTTTAGAGCCTGTGTCGACAGATGACAGTTTGGCCAGGCCGACAAGCAGCGCCTCACGATGAGTCGCAGCTTCTCTGGCGTGAGTTTCGGCCAACTCTTCAGCATCATGTAGGCGTTTCGAGACAGTTTCCAGTTCCGTGGTCCTATCTTCGTGTTCGGCTCGCAGTTGAGACAGTTTTTTCTCGGCAACTTCTCTTTGCACACGCTCTTCCTCAATCTGGCGCTCGTAAAGGCTCACCTTGCTCGTGGATGCTGTGACGGCAGCCTCTAGGGCAGCCATCGAAGAAGTGTGATTCGTTAGTCGCGACGATGTGTCCTCGTGCGTCTTGACCAAACTCTCATGATCGACCCGCAGAGTCCGCAACTCTTCTTCGACCTCAGCCCTGCGGCCTGCCTCTGCTCGAGCTAGACTTTGGGCTTCGTAAAGTTCTGCACGAAGTCCCTCGAGTTCTGCCGGGTTTCGATTCTTGCTCAGCTCATCATAGCGGAGCTGGAGAGCATCCACAGATTCTTCTGCCACTTCTCGAGCTTTCCGTTCGGACGCAAGGTCGTTGTTCAAAGAATCAAGCTTGGCCTTCAGCTCAGACTGTGCAGCAAGGGCCAAGGCAAGGCGGCGTGTAAGGTCAGTAAAACGTTCTTGCTCATCAGGCTCTCGCGACGCATCAGGTTGTGGTGTGCTACGCTGACTACCACCATGAGCCGCGAGCTTGGCCCTTGCATACGCAGCTTCCGTGACGGCGGCATCACGCTGATGTTCCACCTCGGCGATCCGTCTGGCCATAGATGCAGCTTGCGTCTCCATGGCTTCTTGCATCTTGATGATTTCCGTTCTCATGGCCATGAAGGCTTCCATTAGTGGCCGATCGTCGTCGGTGACCTTGCTGACGGCTCGCTCGTCAAACGTGGGACTAGAGGAAGCGCCAGTGTGGTAACCTTGCTTCCGAGCCAGAGCCAACTCTGAAGCATACCAGGCGTTCGTCTTCTTTGCAGTTTCCAACTCTTTCAACAGCGCCTCTTGGTGAGGATTCATCTTGGGAGATTTGGGTTCGTCGCCTGGCATACTTCGTAAACTTCGATTATCACCTTGTACTTCCCCATGATGTCTGCCGGATGATGAACGTCCCAGGTACCCGTCCTCGGTGCTATCGATGGAACCTTGAGCCCTTTGTGACCTGAGCGATCGTTGTCTAGCAACACCGCTACTCATGAGAGGAGCCGCTTCACCTGCTTCCATAGCCTTCGCCTTTGATTCGGTCCGCTGAGTTGGAGTCCTGCGGCCGAAAGTGCTCGGACTTCCTTCACGGCTGGGTCTAATGTTCTCTTTTTGAACGTCTCTCACTGCTTGGGGCTGCATCACACCCTCTTGAGGCACAGTTCGACCGCCATCCGGGCCGGGTGCAGTGCTTCTTGTGTCCAGCGGAGAACCATTGTACCTGGCTTTTGGTCCGTTAGGGGCATTGGGAGGAGAATGTACACCATTCGTCCGCGGCGTTGGCGCCTGCCCCTGAGGGGGAGGTCCAGCGGGCGCCTGTGCCATCGATGCCCGCGGCAGCCGTGACTGTGAGCTACTTTGTCCAGCCGGGTCTGGTCGTTGAACCGGACCGCCTGAGAATTGCTCGCGAGTTGCATTTTGACTCCTTGCTCCTTCTCGTGATGTCGAACGGATGGGCATAGCAGATCGTGCTTCGGTACTTGGTCTTCGAGTTGGGCTGTTCGGTTGCCTCGGATCTATAGGTTGGCCACTCGCCGGTGCATCGTTTGGATAACGAATCTTTGCAGTATCCAGTACATAAACCATACTTAGCTCCGCAGGATCCCGAGGCGCGGAACTAGGCTCTCCAGCAAGGACGATGATTTTGTCGCGGTATGCTGTCATACTGTGGCCGGATCTGGGCGAGGGCGACGGGCCCATGTTTTGGAACGTGTACCATCGTTTTGACGAGATGCGGAAGGCTGCTAGATCACCAAGATCTGTGCCTTCTTCGGTCCTACCACCAAAGATATACATCACGTCATTGACCAACGCAGCGGAGTGGCCCTCCCGGGGAGCAGGAATATATCCTATGCAGTCTTGCTGCGTCCAGACATTGGTGACGGGACTGTACGTCCAGACATCGTTGAACCACTGAGTGCCATTGGTGCCTCCAAACCTACGGACGGATTGATTAGACGAGATTCGACTGGTGATCACGGTCCACTTACAGGAATAACTGGTCGTTGTAGCTAACAATCGTGTGATTCGTTCTTGCAGCAGGCACTTTCGCATTCGGCCCGACAACGTCGTCGCCCGTGTTTTGTATTAGAAACTCCCACTGATTTGCCGGGTTCTGTAGGGCGTTCAGGTCGAAAGCTATTAGATCATTGAAGAAATAACCCTCAACCTGACCTCCAAAGATGTATATCTTGGAGCCCAGAATATTGAGGGTATGACCATATCGGCCAGAAGGTCGTGGACCCGGAGGCGCGGCCCGAGACCATTGTCGAGAAGCTAGAGGATGGTGAGCAATGTTCACCGGCACAGAAACACAGGACCAATCCACTCACAAGTATTAAGCAGGTACAGAGTGTCGTCTAGCACGTCGTTATCATCCATCTTAGTGTCACCGCCAAATACGATGAAAGCGTTGCCAACCAGCAGACTTGCGTGTCCGACGCGGGGGCCGGGTCCCTCCGAAACTGTCGCGATAGGATAACAGGACAGACTTCCACCGCCGGACTCGACCATCCACAAGTCGCCCCGAACCATGGAACCGTTGATGAGGCCCCCCATAATATAGATATCACCATCTTTTGAGGCAATTGCGTTCACAGCCGCGCCATAGCGAGGGAAAGGATTAGATTGCGCAGTAGTGAAATTCAATCGTCGCTGCGACCAGGGATAGAGGGCGGCATTGGGAACTTGAGTCGGCTGTGTAGCCGTCGAGGGTCGTGGCTACGCACAACCATAGTCAGCGCTTCCGTTCAGTATCGATGTCAATCGAAGAATTTTGACGTACCCCAGATTCTGACTCTGATCTCTCGCGCCGTGGATAAGCAGGTCCAGCGGCCAGAGTCGAGTTCATGGAACTCAGGGAACCGTTTGGATTCGAACTTGCATTAGGATTAGGAGGAGGCGATTGAGTCGATCTCTCGCCGGTGCTGTCAATGGAACCGTTGGCACCTGACGAAGTCGGGGTGCCGTCAGAAGTATGGATATTTCGACTCGCTGGGGGCAAGCCCGAGGCGGGCGGCGCGTTCTTCCTGCTTTTGAAGAGAAACGCCATTGTTCGTGACTTCGCAACGTTGGGACTCGGGGACGTAAGGCCAGATGAGACACGGGTGTGTTAGATGCGCAGGACTTGCGCGGACCGAACCATCCACCTCGCTCAAGCACAATCCATCGTCCCGGCATACAACGAGGAGGGCGACCAGAAAGGACAGGAATCGTATTCCAGGACCACAGGTCGCGATGAATTCAATGGATTATGCAAGGTGGTCGATGCTGTCTCCCAGTTCGATTCTGGCTGCCAAGGGAAGGCTTATGCAGGCACCGGGAGCCCCCCAATTAATTCCAACGCGATCAAAGGTGCGGACGCGCTCGTGCAGAAGAGTCGGTGCGGGCTAACAATTGCCAATCGGAGGCAAGGGCTGGCACAACGCGAGCAGTGATAAGTAGATACAGAAGCGACAGAAACCAAACTGAGACTGATGCGGTGATGATGGCGACGATGAAGAATAGTATGGACTCAGGAGAATTATTTTCTTGTCGAGCAAGACTAAGTGTCGCCCACCGCGCAGCCTGGCACCACCGACGAGGGACTAGGTACTCCTCCTGGGTGGGCAGTTGGCACCCTTGGAAGGCACGGGAGGGTGAGGGCGCCCCCGGAATGCTCCAACTTCCCAAGGCCGGGCACCAAGCCATGTTTCAGGTGGCTGGTTCGAGTCTAGCCCCCGTGAAGCTCACCGCTAAGAATCTCCTCTCCCATGCATCTCTGGCGCCCATGAGGCCCTAAACAAGCAGCAAAAAAAAAGTTCCCCCCCCTTATTATGCGTTTGACCTCGTACAAGTCCCCATTCTTTGGCTGCAGCCTCAACGTTCATGCTCTGGCTGGGAAAGACAAACGCCACACTCCATCCTCCACGGTTCGCCGCCACCGAGGATGACCATATCCCAGTTTTGACTCACCAGCCGCAAGCTGCGGCTCTCTTTGCCTTCTCTCTGCCTTGGTTGGCGAAACCTCTTTTCTGGTAAGGTTCCCGGCGCTGAAGATCGCAGCACGTGATTGCCGATCGACCTTAGCCGAAATGATTGGAGGACTCGTTTCTCATGTTGACGACATCCATGGTCTTGGACACACCCTCCAAACGATATATGTCTGACCATAGACAAATCACGAAGACGGAACGACGGTTTGCGAACACCACTAGGCAGCATCTGAGTACGGAGTGCATCCTTTACGAAACTTACTCGACTCACCGGACATCCTGCTGGTCACGCAGACCGTTATCAATACGGGCTGATATCATTGAACATCCGGTGCTGCCACGGCTCTCCCAGGTCGAACTGATGCCGGATACCGTGTCGCCGAAATTACAACTCTCTTGATGTTATAGGTAGGCTTTTAACCGGTGCTGAAACAGAGCAAAACAGCTAGGCACAAGGCCTCCCCAAAAGCCCTTGAGGACCAGGCAGCTTAAATCGCGGTTTCCACTACCGGGTAGAAGGATACATCCATCAGTTTGGTCAAAAGTGGAGTGAGTGGTTGGGTCTTTTCAAAGATCAAGATTCAAAACTCTAAAGATCCCCTCGGGTTCGGGGTCCCACAAGAAAAGGTGAGCAGGGCAGGTATTACGGATTGCAGCCTCGTCGGCCCGACCCCCCCAGCCTCGCGACATCCCGAGGACAGCCTCTCACCAGTCTGCACTGGAAAACCGGAACACGGATACCAGGCTGATCCTTTAGACAGAAACCAGTGTAAGATTACACCAGCCAGGATGGCATCAGACCGCCTAACCCGACCACAATCACCCGAGGTGGACCTCAAAACCTTCATCGCGCAAATGCCCAAAGCGGAGCTTCACGTCCATCTCGAAGGCTGCCTGACACCTGATCTTGCCCGCGCTCTCGCAGCACGGAACAACCTGCCCATTCCGTCGTCCATTGCCCACTTGGAACCGTCTCACCCGGAGGCAGGCTATGCGTTCAACGACCTCACCTCGTTCCTGCAGATCTACTATCCAAACATGGCCGTCCTGGTTACGGCCGAGGACTTTTCTGACCTGGCCCTGAGCTACCTACGCACCGCACACGCCCAGAACGTGAAGCACGTCGAGCTGTTCTTCGACCCGCAAGCACACACGTCGCGGGGAGTGCCCTTCCCGACCGTGGTGCGCGGTTACCGCCACGGCATCGTCACAGCGCAGCGAACGCTAGGCATTTCAGCGAGTCTGATCATGTGCTTCCTCCGCGACCACAGTGCCGAATACGCCATGTCGACCCTGATGGAGTCGCTCCCGTTCAAGGACAGCATCATCGGCGTCGGCCTGGACAGCGACGAGCGCGAAAACCCTCCCAGCAAGTTCGCGTCCGTCTTCCAGCGCGCCTCCCGCGAGGGCTATCTGCTCACCATGCACTGCGACATTGACCAGCCCAACACCCTGACGCACATCGGTCAGGCCGTCAACGAGATCCAAGTGGACAGAATCGATCATGGCACTAATATCATTGACTCCCCGGAACTGGTCGACACCATCAAGACTCGCGGCATCGGACTGACTTGCTGTCCAATCTCAAACTCCGTCGTCACGGCCGACTTCAAGGGCCGGGAAATCCTTGGCCTCCTGCGGCAGGGCGTCAAAGTCACCATCAACAGCGACGACCCAGCCTATTTCCGCGGTTACGTGAATGAGAATATGCTGAAAATGGCCGAGGGGACCGATATAACAAAGAAGGAGTTGATCCAGCTGCAGAAAAATGCATTCATGATCAGTTGGATCTCGAGTTGGCGGAGGAACCATTTTTTACAAATGTTGGACGAGTATGAGAAAAAGATGCTAGGCAACATAGAAGGAGAAGCTCTAGTAAACGGGATTTGACGTTTGATGACCTACTCTGCAATGGCCCGAAAGCAGCATACGACGTTGTGGAAGGGTATCTTTACACTGATAAACATGGAACTCAACACCTGCATTTCCGCCGGACCTTGCTCTGGTCTTTTTCACAACCACTAATCCGAGCTTTTCGCCGTAAACTCGACCTCGCCAAAGAACGTAGCCCGCAGCTGTACAATTGCTGCAATCTCGAGAACAAACTCCTGAAGGATGATAGCGTTGGTCAGTACATGGCTGAGACTGACGTGATTCCTCGGGCTCAATGACCAGTCATCTGTGCCGCTCGGAGTTGCAGCTCCAGATCCACCACTGGCATCCAACAAAGCGCGACGTTGATCACCAGGAGGACTTGGAGTTTGTTTGCGGCCTGCGTGTACAGGGAGTGATTCTGAAGCCTCTTCGGGCGTTCGAAAATTAAACAGAGTAACTTGTGTTTTTAAAAGGGGGATCGATGGCGGTGGCACCAAAGAAGCTGGCTGCTGTGTTGACCCCTCGCTTTCCCCGAGTTGAGCCGGTGTTGATTGCCTCAGGGGAGAATGGCCGAGAGGGCGCTCAGTTAAGCTGCTCCGATGTGTTTCAGGCCTCGATAAAGCACCGTCGATGGACCCAAAATCCCTTGTCGTTACCTTTCGCCCTCTTGGAGTTGCTGGTGGTGACTGAGATTTCCCAACAGAAGGCGAGGTGCTTCTGAGGCCCGAACCAGTCTCTTTCGTCCGCCATGACGAGTTCACCGGGTTTTGAGGATTGGTGAGCGTGTCATCCTCTGACAGTTCCATTCTCCTTCGAAGGACAAGCTCGTCCCATTCGGGAAATTGTGAGCGCCATTGACGAACTTGCTCTATAAGTTCACCAATGATGAAAGTAATGTTGCTCGAGGAACAGTCTTGACTGTCGGTCTCGTTCCCTGGCCGCAGAAGCCACCCTTGCAGATTCATATGCTCACAAGCAGCCAGGGCCATGACAGCCTCAGTCAGATAAAGATTCGTGACAGTGTCATTTGCAAAAAAACTTCGCAGCAATGTGAGGAGAGCTTCAAAGAGCTTGCACTCTTGGGCAATGGACATGTCTCGTTCGTCTATTTGGTCCATATCCGCTCGGTTCATGCGGAGGCAACTGTGCTGCTCCAGTAGAATCTGCTCGTCCAGCAATGCTGCTTGATATGACTCATCCATCTCGGGGTTTTTGGCTATCGCAGCAGCATAGTCAAACAATTTGAGCAAGGAGCTGTTCAGATGCTCTACTCCACGTTGAGCTGGAGACGCAGTTGTTGGCTCAAGTTTGAAAAGATTCGTGAGGACATGACAATGGTGATTCGCAATGATCACTGATAATAGCTTCAGACAAGCATTGACGGTTTCTGAATGACGAGATCTGAGGCTCATTACCATCAAGTCGAGAAGATTGAAAAGATTCGGGGAAGGGCTGTCGGCGACCTCTGCAAGGGCTTTCAAATGATCGATGGACTTCCGTCGGCTAACAGACATCCTCTGTCTTCGATGGCTTCTCTCCGCGGGGCCGCGGGGCATGCTTGGTGACGCCAAAAGGTAGCGCAGGATGCGATCCACGAGCTGTTCGTGGTCAAGAGCAATCAGAATCCGGGACAGATGGGTTATGACCGCGGCGGTAGAGCCACCTTCAACATCGGATGACTCCAAGAGCGAAGGATAAAGGAGTTGTTGGACAAAGAGTATCTGAAAATGGTCCAGCAAAGTATCACTGACTTCTGCCGACTTGCAGTGGTTCAGTGTATCCTGCCAGAACGCCAGATAAGTGAAGAAGGCTTTGATATCTTGCTGAAAGACTTGTGGTACTGTTGTGAGCGAAGCAAGCGTTTCTGAACGATCCGAAAGAGAGACAATAGCAGGCGCGGAGGCTTGGCCACTAAGTGAAGTTGATTGTCTGCTGAGCCTGCTGTATAGGGCACCCAACCCACTAGCCATCTGAGGTGCCAGGTCACTCTCGATCATCCATGTTTCCAATGGCTTGGATCTGGAGGCGGTTTCCGTCAAGTATAACAACGCCGTGCGAGCAAAGTCACCCACCGGGCCATCGTGGTGAACGTATTGCACTAGCACATGGAACAGAGGAAATTGACTTCTCCTAGAGTCGTCTGCAGCGTTGCGCCCGCGTGTTGTTTCTCGACCTGGATAGAACCAAGCAGGAAGGATGTCTG